ATATCACGAATAACTTTGTTCAAAAATAAAACAATAACCTGGCCTTTTTATTGTATTAATAAATCATCAGCAGACAAGAACACTTTGGCATAACAGTATAAATGTCCTCCTGCCACTATCACACAACAGCCATTAGAGTAATATTTGCTTTGTTTTCTTCACTTGATGCCGTTTCTCAAGCACAGCCACGTACACCACCCAACAACCGACCCCCCACCCATCTCCAGGCCTCTGTCATTCCATACATCATCGATGCAGGAATATTTTAGTTGCTACTACCAGTCACACCATGAGTTTTAATAATTTGTGAAGCTCTATTTCATGAAAAAAGCAAACAGTCAACAGGTAGCTTGTGCACTCTCTCCACAAACAAATGCTGTTCCTACCAGATAAGATGCTTAGTTACTCTAAAGGCAAATTGGAGTTACTCCTGCACACCTTACAAATCTCTTTATGGACTGCCAACAAATGAGCTCCAGGCAAAGGATGTATCACTTACTAATCATAACTCTCAGTCACAAGCTTAACAAACCAGAACACATGCAAGAATTTGAAGTAACTCTCAAATCCTGCTGCAAAGAGCTGCAGCTGAACTTTTGTGGGGAGAAACCCAGAAGGTATGGAGTCAACATTTGATTTTATGGCAGACTTCTAATAAGACTCTGGTCAAAAGAATTAAATCTGTTTTCAGAGACCACCACTACCTACAATATTCCTTTTTCTGTTTCCCCCTTGTCTCAGAAAATGTGCTGAGTTTTCAGAAGTATTAAGGACTCTTAGTCTGTAAATAAGGGCCTTAGGATGTCAGACTACCAATTCCTGAAAAAAGTATGACTACACTTCTGCTCACTGAAGTACCCTAAATCCAGTGAACACCTACAGTACTGTTATCCTTAAGTCTATCCAGTATGCAACTGTTGATGTCTGAAGTTAGCACGATATAATGCACTCTTACAATACTGTAAACCTTCATGAGGAACATTCCCAGGATACTCTTCCCTCATCATTTTATCAATAAGATTATTAATAGATAGTTCATCCTGGATGCATATAAAGATAGGTATTAAACACACACACACCCCCTCCAAGTTGCCTGCACAGAAGGTATGAGTGATAACTAGCTCTTCCTCTGTGATCTCTCCTCTGGCTGGGTTTGCATTTCTTCTGTTCAAAAGGCATTCTGATATGGAAAAATGTGGGGGAAATCACCATCTTTCTTCATCAGAGTAACTGTCAGACAGAGAAACAATTTTGCCTTTCTGCATCAACATAAAAGAAAGCAAGATAACCAAGACATTCAGCCAGAGGGACATGAAAAAGCATCATCCTCGAACTTTAGCTCTACCTGCTCATCACACAAGAAAGTCCAGCAGAAATTCCCACATGTAAAAGGTTGAGCTGTTAAATTCACAGGTTTCCTGTTTCACAAAGAAAGGTCCATGACTCAACACTAGACAGGACAAGACTATAGCATTTTAAGCCAAGTTGTCAGCTGCTAAAATTCATTATTCCCCCATCCACTACAGTAAGTGGGAAGGAACTCTTACTGAAACAACTGTTTCTCTTACAGCAACACCCACAATCTTAATATGAAAGGTTTAAAATTTTACCATCACCTCTAACCAGCATCATTAAAACCACAAAAACAATTGCTGCTCCTCTAAGCAACAGCAGTAACACAACAGCTAATATACAGCATATGGAGACCACAGAGTCATGCCACTAAACATACTAAACAGTTCTTTTAAAATGAATGTTTCTAATAAGAGTATTAAAAAGGACCATTTTATCTAAATTAATAGCCAGTTGCACTTAGAAACTATGATCAGTATCTACCATTATGACTCATAATCAGATAAAATCCTATCAAGCACTATTACCTTCTCCATACAAAGGGCAAAAGCATGTAATCCATGCTAACTATCAAATTCTCCAAATGTGGCCATTTTAAAATGAGTGAACTTTCACAGCTGATGCTGAGTCTTGTACACTTTTATGGTTGTCACCATAGCATCTGTAACAGCACTAGGTGACAGGAGTCAAAATGAAATAAGAATGGCTTTTGTAACTGTCACCAAAGAGCAGTAATTCTTGTTGTGGACCTAAGAAGAATTTATATAAAATGGGAAAACCAGAATTAATTCCAAGCAGCCTGTTCATTGCATTAGACCTATTCCTTAATACATCAAACAAGACATGTGAAAGTATAGAAATTAGTACAAACCCCTTCTAAACCAGTATCTAGCAACAGTCTAACAGAAGTACAGGCTTGGAGGAAGGGAGAGGAGGGTGGGAATATCAAGGAGATGTGGGAAAGGAACACAGGCAAGTAAATGGGGACGTGGTTTAATGGCCATGGAAGTGCTGGGTGCCAGCTGGACTTGATGATCTTAGAGGTCTTTTCCAACCTTAATGATTCTGTGATTCTAAATGATAGCTTGATGAAGAAAGAAAAGATACCCACCAGTAAACAGACACCCTTCCAGACATAAGCTTGTATGCATGTTCACAACCTGATCAGGCAAAACATGCAAACAACTTGGATCAGATTTGCCTGTCTTAACTGTGGCTAAGAAGTCTCCTCACAAGTTTGAATGCAGTAAAAACAGAAATTAAGCATGCCCCAACCCAGAACTATCTTCCCAATATCTTTCCTTACTGGGAAGAAGAGAGAAGACCAGATTGGAAATAACATCTCAAACAAACCTGTTTCCAACTCTAAGTGGTTCTCAGAAGCAGGTCTCTCTCTTGGGCTCAATTACTGAAAAGCCTCAAGTTCCCTTGCTTGTCTTATTCACACTGTCAAATTGCAGAGCAGCCACCCAGGCTTGGCAAATGAAGCAGTCTCTCGGGTACCAGACGCAGTCCTATCTGCCACACTATTTTAAAAGAAATGCAGTCTGAACACATTTTTTAGGAGTAGTTCTTTTGGAAAATAAAGATAACACATATGAACGCTTGACAGGAATAATCTTCTGCCACAGGTCATGAAGCATTTCAAGTCCATTGGAGAGACTGATGCCATAAAAATGTTTTTAAAACCAAAATGTCAGTCCAGTGGCCAAAATTTAAGAAAGAGAGTAATGGCTTCCTAAGAAGCAAAGAAATAAAATGTGCTGATGAAAACTCTAAGCAAATGAGCTTGTTCTGACTCTGAGCAGTTTGAAGCAGTTATAATAACAGGAATACTTAGCTTTACAAAAGCAGGCAAGGCATGTGCTTTGGCACTTTTTGCCTGCACCGTCTCCATACTGGAGCAAAAAAGTTCTTGCTAAGAGGCCTGCACAGAGGAAATCCAGCTATCTATGTGTGGTCATTGTTCTTCCTCTAAGGCTCTTCATATTCGTGGTGGATGACTCCAAGAAGCATGCTCCAGTTTAAGGTAACCAGAGACAGGATCAGTGTTCCTAGTTGAAAAGATTATGTGGTACTGCTCTACTTATTGCCTGAAGGCTTCAGTGATCATAGTACTTAATGTCATCTGAGCTCCAAGCAACAGAAATACAGATTTATGGAAAGGAAGCATCCTTCAAGGTGCTGCTGAGGTCACTTGCACTACAGTATGAACTACCAATGACTACTACTAATGGTTCCAGCTTAGCTACTTCAGCTGCTCCTTAGCACAATTTAAAAAGCATATGCAGCTCAGACTGCTCCTCATGAAACTTCTTAGCTACAGGAATAAAACCAGAAGCATTTTTCCTTGCTTACATCTGACAGCAAAAGAAAGCTTCTGTTCCAGGCACCTCCAAAAGAAAACTGGGAGGTTAATAAGGCTGACCTAGATGAAATTCAGAAGCTGCCTCAAGTAAATATCTAGGTAGATGATTCAATTATTTTTATGCCTTCTTTTGTTAGGAAAAAAAGTTTAAACTAACAGGGTTTGAATTTTACCACTACTCTAACACAAGTGATAGCTGCTACAAAGGCTATCTTCCTGAAGAGGTGCTACAGCAACCAATTTAAAAGGCTAACTTGCAACACTGGGGAACAGGATCACTCCCTGAGAGTAAAATACTTACTGAGCTGTGAGGAAACGGATGGAAGATCTAAGTCTGACAGAATCTGGAGGCAGAGAAAGGCTCACTGCCACGAACACAAAGTCAGCTCTTCAGTTGCTACAAAGGAAAGAGAGGGGCAAAATTATGTGCTTCTCCTTTCCTTTGGGCCTCCTATAAGAGACCACATGAATCACTGTAGCAGGAAGGATTAGAAGCCTAATGGAAGCCTAATGTTTTAGGTAGTGGGCTACAGAAGAGCCATGAAATATGAAGGGTAAAACCAAACAAATCAAAGACATAGGCAACAGATGAAAAGACAAGTAGCTGATAAAACATGAGAAGAGCTATAACGTAATCTGTAGGTGGGGTCAGGCTCCAGCTTTGTTAAAGTATGTGAAGTCTGAGGACACAGCAATGGTACTGCTAGACCAAAGAAGTCAATGGTTGCAAAGTCTTTAGGTATATGCATCCTTTCAATATAAGCATGTCTTTGCATAAGCACTCAGAAGTACAAATATCTTTTTAAATAGAAGTCTCAAAAGTCAGATGAAATTGGCTTGATATTTCTCAGTCTGTCACTGAGAAAATAGTAAGAAATTGTGTAGTGCTTTTGTGAAGCAAACCCGCAGCCTTGCAGGACAAGTGACAAAACTGTTATTTCTACTTTCACAAAGTTACAGAATATCAAAACAAGTTACTGTTGGCATGAGAAGCTAGTGACTTGACATTTCAGGCTAACCTCTGCTTGAGTGGCTATCTTTTGAAAACATCTTGGTAAAAGAAGTGTTTCAAAGCTCTAACAAAAGGTTCTAAATTGGCCAAGACTTGCACAGAAGCAAGCCTTAAAGATTCCACACCCTAAGAATACGTTATTTTAGACAACTGGTTGCTGTAAAATCAGTTTGCAAGCTACTGAGAAACCAAGAATCTAGAGAATTCTTCATCTATAACATTTGCTAGAATACATTAAATTTCACAGACACCTTGCAGTGTCCTTACCTCTTGTCCTGAAAGGTAGTATGCTGCTAGAAGACCACCAATGAAGCGAATATTGACCTCAAAAACAGAAACTTCGGAATTCTAGAACACAAAAATAAAAAGTAATTAACCAAGTCCCTAATCGAAGAAAAAAAAATCATCAAGGCTCACGAGACAAGTACATACCCTAAGCCAGTCTGCATGCAAGGCTTTGTACTGTTTCATCTAGATCTGTACTGTAATTCCTATGTACATCTTCACAACATCAAGAGATATTTCTAGTTACAGCTTCAACTGATTTTTAGAAATCAAATTATTTTTTCTCCTTCTGTCTAATCATATTACCACCACAAAGAGAAATTAAAATTGCCTGAGGATGGTGGGAAACAAGGTACAAGCTATATATTTCCATAATTCAGCACCTTTTCTCTTACACCAAATCTTCTGGGTTTACATGATGAAATAGAATAATTAGAGAATTCCTGTAATACGCTTTCCTAACCTGAACTACCAATGTCCAACCTCAAATTCACAGTTCCACTTTAACATTGCCTCTGTCTAGGAATAGCCTTTAGGTATTCAATGTTACAACAGTAAGTACTGCAAGACCACTGACAAACTCAGAGGAATAAACCATTTTACTGCCTTCCTCCACATGAATATCCTTCAGTTAAATTCACCGCTAGCTTCTAACCCCCTTAAAATTTAAGAGGAACTACATAGTTTAACATCTTTCTGCCCCCTCTTGCACCCCATTCACTCCTTTACCTGCATACATTCCACCTGTCTCCCCCATATCCTTCTTTTCAACCCATTAGACACAGAAATGTAGTTTTATTAAAAGATTCTGAGATAAGGAAGACTTGTCCTTTTTTCAGAAAGTCATTACTAATACACTGTATAGGTTGACCCACCAATTAGCACGCTGTTGAAATTATGGGTATGTCTTTCACACTGTTTTGAGGGTGATGGAGAACTGGGACAGGCCGCCCAGAGAGGCTGTGGAGTCTCTGTCTGGAGACTTTCAAAACCCACTTGGACACACTGCTGTTCAACCTGCTCTAGGTGAAACAGGTATGAACTAGACGATCTCCAGAGATCCCTTCCAGCCCCTACCATTCTGTGGTTACATTTCTATGGCATCTGTGGTAGTACCATGCATTTTGCTTGTATCAAAAATAAATGCATTTTGTACACTTATTTCAGAAAGATTATATGAATACTAGGAAGATTTTATCAAATAGCACGGATGATTAAAAGACTAAAATTTGAAATACTCCCACATACAGGTTTTTAGTAAAAGACACTGATTCACATACAGGTGGTACATGAAAAAATATCAACGATGCAACATATGGCTCCACTTAATATCTGTTAAAGTCATGAACCACACAATCAAAGGCACAGTGTAGAGTGATAGCACTGATTTCTACTTCCCAGTAAAAAAATCCAAAAGGAACAAATTTATGTATTTATTTATAAACTTCAAACCATATAAGGAAATTACTCAAGTCTGGTGTATAGATAAGACAACTCATTAGCCTTCAGAAATGTTTTTTGATACATAGGAAGCTCTAATCAAACCCCAGAGGGTCACGTAAATTTCTTCCACCCAAGGCCTAGATTAATTCTGCGAATTTTTATTCAGACTGCCTCAGATCAGACAAGTTAAGGCAGTAATACATTTCACCCTCATAATAGCACCATTATGCATGCCTGACAAACCTAGAAGCCTTCTATGAGAAGGTCACAACATT